CAAGCCATGGAATTGGCATCAGTTTACTCCTTAGCTCCACTACAGCAGTAGTAGCATAATTAATAAAATTATCCACTCAAGTCTTAAGATCTGAGAATTTCACATGTGTTGCTATTTATCCTGAAAATACTCCTGCAGAAATATCACTCCACATTTTTCTCTTATATAAAATATCAGAAAGAAAACAGAAAACCAACACTGGAGAGATCCCCTGTGTCCTGTCCAAGTAGACACCCAGATACCCAAGCTCTTCATCTTACTCTCTCACACAAAATCTCCTTTTCCAAAGTTCAAGCACTGTCCATGAACTCTCCCAAAAACTCCTACCTATAAACCAACACAAAGGTCTGCTTTGGTATTCCTCTGGTGCCTGTGTGTGTGAGGGTATAAACCAACACAAAGGTCTGCTTTGGTATTCCTCTGGTGCCTGTGTGTGTGAGGGTATAAACCAACACAAAGGTCTGCTTTGGTATTCCTCTGGTGCCTGTGTGTGTGAGGGTATAAACCAACACAAAGGTCTGCTTTGGTATTCCTCTGGTGCCTGTGTGTGTGAGGGTATAAACCAACACAAAGGTCTGCTTTGGTATTCCTCTGGTGCCTGTGTGTGCGAGGGTATAAACCAACACAAAGGTCTGCTTTGGTATTCCTCTGGTGCCTGTGTGTGTGAGGGGCGCAGGGCACACGTGTGAGCTGGAGATCAGCAGTTCCTGTCTTCTACAATCACTTCCCACCGCAGTTTTGAGACGGGGTCTCATCAATTCAGCTACAATAGCTGGCTAGCAAGCTCCAAACATCTTCCTGTGCCTGCCTCCCCAGCGCTGGGGTTATGGGTACACAAACATCTTTTCTGTGTGGTCCTGGGGATCAGAACTCCTGCTTGTACAGCAAGCACTTTACTGACAATCATCTTCCTAGACCCTGTTATCCTTTTTAAAAGCCTTCATGTATGGGACTATGGACCAGAACTGGGACCAGGACTGGGACCAGGGCCCAGAAGGACCATGGCTTTACGGTCAAACCAAAGACTGGCCCCAGCTTCCCTCTTCACTTACACAAATGACCCTCAGCCTTAGCAGCTTCTTCCATTTTAAAACTGGAAAAATGCTTGTTCACAGGTTCAAGAACATTAAAGCATAATTTTCAGAAAAGATTAAGTACTAAGATAAGATTCCACTTAACTTAGTCATTCAACTGGATGGTGTGACTTACTGAGAGATGGCAGGACAGCTGAATGTCACCACTGAGAGGCTTTGGAGACAGGGTCAACGTGAGCAATAAACAAGATGATATGATACAGTGCCAACATATCACCGATGCTCATTAATCTATGGAAGACTAACAGCCTCTGTGATTTAGACGGAGACTGTAGGAGCTCAAGGGCTGTCCATCCACTATCTAATGCTTCTGATTAGGTCCAATTAAAGGCAGCGTTCAGCACGCCTTACAGTGGTAATCACACCTAGAAAAGGGGACTTAGGAAAAAAAAAATTCCATGTGCCCTCAGAGAACAGACAGTTCAACCAAGGTAATGTCAGCAATCAGTATTTCAAAATGAACACTCAGCTTTAACCTTCATTATTAATTCTCTCTAGAACAAAAATGTGGACAAACTAGAGAACAGTTTAAGATTAGAGTTGCTATTTCTACATTTTGAGTTACTATCTGAAGACAGAAAAAGAAAGTGGAAGATGATTTAAAATACAGCAATGCAGAAACACCTTTTGAAGGAACACCAGCTATGTGTCTTGAAGAAATTCCTGAAGGCCATTTTGGTCAAAATGTACAGGACCAAGCACTTAAAACAAAAACGTGATCTCCACAGCCCTCTAATATACAAGGCCAATAGTCCCTTTAAAACATCACAAGCAGCAGCAAAGTGTGTGTGTGTGTGTGTGTGTGTGTGTGTGTGTGTGTGTGTGTGTATGTATGTATGTGTGTGTGTACGTATGTGTGTATGTATGTATGTATGTATGTGTGTGTATGCATGCATGCATGCGTGTGTGTGTGTGTGTGTGTGTGTGTGTGTGTGTCTGTATATACACACACACATACACATATAATTTTTTAAATTGTAGGACAGTTTGCCTATAACATATGCAGTACCCCAGGAGGACAGAAGAGGGCACAAGACCTACTAGGGTTCCAGTTACAGGTGGTTTTGCATTTTGGGAGCTGAACCCAAGTCCTCTGCAAGAGTAGAATGGGCTCTTAACTGCAGAGCTATAAAAATACAAGTTGATTTTTTTTCTTCGAGACAGGGTTTCTCTGTATAACAGCTCTAGCTATCATGAAACACACTTTGTAGACCATTCTGGCCTCAAACTCACAAAGGTCTGGCTGCCTCTGCCTTCTGAGTGCTGGGATTAAAGGTGTGCTGGTTTTAAATTTTTATACCAGTACTTTGCCTGCATGTCCATCTGTGTAGCACATGCTTGCCTGGCATCCTCAGAAGTCAGAAGAGGGTGCTGGATCCCCTGCAACTAGTTATGTATGTATGTATGTATTATATGTGTGTGTATGTATATGTATGTATGTATGTATGTATGTATGTATGTTCTAAACCACTGAGCCATCTCTCAAGCCCCAATACAAGTTCTCTTAAGAACTGATGGTTAAGATTGGACAAGATTAATATTTGCACCCCAATATTAATAGATCTCTTTCAACCTTACTACTTGGAAACATCGATTTTAGGTGCTACAGAGATAATTACCTAAAATACTTTTTCTTCAAATGAAAACAAAGGCCAGGTATGGCTATGTCTCTCAAACACAGACAGAGTTCAGTCCCTCCACCACTCTTCGTCCTGGTATTACAGACTGAACTTAGGGCCTTATACACACTAGGCAGACTCTACCACTGACTTGTTGGGTTTTTATTTTTTTGAGACAGGATCTCACTAAGCTGCCCAGGCTGAGGTTGAACCCGCCTCCTACCTCACCTGCAGCAGCTGGGATCAATGTCCTGTGACACCAAGCTTACAGCCTTCAATTCTTAACTTTAAAGTTTTATTCAAGAAGCCTTACTTCATACCAAATAGCTTTATGCAAAATTCCTCATAGATATAAGAACTATAGCTCAACTGAATGGCATATAAAAAGCAAACTCCTTTTGAACCTCACTGGCCATGTCTACATAGCTTTTAAAAAGGCAGCAGCAATGAAAGCACAGAACACATCTATAAATAGTCCTAACCTTAAAGCATTAAGATCAGGACAGATCCTATGGGAAATATTTATTTTCATAGAAGTGTAACGAGTCTGAGAGAGCAAGCTAACTAAACTGTGTGTGAGAGTATTGAAGGGTGAAGTATGTAAATGACTTGCTCAGAAAGGAACAGATTAATGAGTAAGACATGGCTGGTGTCTAATAAGCTTCAATCCAACTGTTCTGTGCAGGTGACGATTTCTGTAACAGTATTTAAAGGGGTACAGGAGAGCATGAGAAATAGTCTATGTATTTAATCTTTCTCTTACGAGAAAAATACTTTTGTAAAGAGAAAACAAGCCCTACATCCCTTGTTCCAGACAAGTGACAGCTCTCATCTCCATCTTTAAAGGGATGAAACTAAATCCCTGCTCACAAGAAAGAGCAGAATCTCCCAACTGTCAGGAGGCATACTGGCAGAAAACACTAACACTAAACTGTCTCCTAGGAGGAAGTCCCATTGTTTCTCTTTCCCTTTACCTCACCTGCTAAACAAACAAAAAGGCAGAAAACACAATGAGAACCTTAAAAGGAAAGAGCTTTACATTAGTGCAAACGTGCAGGTTATTATCTGTGGCAAGAGTTGTTTCTAAGAAACAATGAGACCCAAAGCTTCTGAACCATACAGGAGTCAAGAGCAGCTA